GTAAAACTTCTGTACGTAGTACTTATTTATTATTCGGTGCTAGCACTGGCAAGTGACAGGACTTTACAGAGGCGGCATCCTAGTGTGTGCAAATGTGTACTGTGCTACTGCTTCAGCGCTCGCCAGTTGCTGCTACGTCTTAGCCACAAACGTTCATTCGCTTCCTGTATGGTGGCGCTAACTAGGTGAGCCCCAAATGTCAATTATCAACACAACATTAAAAAAAACACTTCATTCCAAATAAAAAGTCAACTGAAATATGTCAATAGTGGTGTCAGCAATCATATTATAGATGTCATACACTGAACTGTCTCCCACCAAACTCATTGACAGGGGGCGCCACCATCGTTCAACTATATGGTTTCCAACATGACAAAGATCAGAACCAGCGATCCGATTTAGACGGTGGCGCCCCCTGTCAATGTCACGGATGGGACAGTTCAGTATATTGGGTCTACAACAATGTTGACAATAGCTGCGGTATTTCAAACAGTCACTCACGCAGCAAACACGAGTGGTAGCGCCTCAGAGCGCCGACGGTATAGAGAGCGAGCGCCGACGTATAAGTGCGCGGCGCCGCCAGCCCCGTCGGCGGTCCACCGCGTGTGCTGAGCGCGCCCTCTACTTCTGACAGCTCCTTTAGTATCTGTTGGCAAGAAAAAAGAGCTTTGTTAGTAACACAATAGACTTTAATCTTATACAAAACATTTGTAAAATTTAAGTAAGCATTTCCCCGCACTGTCAACAGGCGTTTTATGGTGTTGCTTGAAAATAAAATCACGAGCGATAATATTTTTTCCAGATTAACTTCTACTCAATAAATAACTCAATAAGCGGCAGATGGACGGGCCTATAAAACGGCGCGCTTCGCGTCGAGTTCAGTTGTGCGCTGCTTCTCGAATTCGAGGACTCGCCTCTTCACAATCTCCCTTCATTCAGGGCGCTGTTTTGCCAAACCTTCCCATTGAGGGCTCAATGTTGCATCTTGCCGCCATGTTGCCGCTTACCCTCCTCAAGAGTAGAAGATGCCAAAGATCAAACAAACCAAAAAGACTAGACCAAAGACATACCTGTATACAAGTCTCTATGAGCCCGTGGACATTGAGCTCGATCTCCATGAGGTCGAGCGCGAAGGCCACGTGCTCGGCCTGCGGCAGGTACACCTGTATACAAGTCTCTATGAGCCCGTGGACGTTGAGCGCGATCTCCATGAGGTCGAGCGCGAAGGCCACGTGCTCGGCCTGCGGCAGGTAGGTGGTGGCGCCGGCCGCGAACGTCGCCGCGCCTTGCTCGCATATAGACATCGCCTTGGGGAACAACACACCTGTATACAAGTCTCTATGAGCCCGTGGACGTTGAGCGCGATCTCCATGAGGTCGAGCGCGAAGGCCACGTGCTCGGCCTGCGGCAGGTAGGTGGTGGCGCCGGCCGCGAACGTCGCCGCGCCTTGCTCGCATATAGACATCGCCTGGGGAACAACACACCTGTATACAAGTCTCTATGAGCCCGTGGACATTGAGCGCGATCTCCATGAGGTCGAGCGCGAAGGCCACGTGCTCGGCCTGCGGCAGGTAACGAACGGCCGCGAACGTCGCCGCACCTTGCTCGCATATAGACATCGCCTTGGGGACAACACACCTGTATACAAGTCTCTATGAGCCCGTGGACATTGAGCG